GCACGCAGATATTTTACTAACACAATCACAGCTGTAAGTGTCACTTTCTGTGCACGCAGATATTTTACTAACACAATCACAGCTGTTCAGACATTCACCCACAACTTTAGAAACGAAATCTCCTCGAGTCTTAAAAGTAAAAAGTACAAAGTTTTATGAGCTAAAACTACACACATGACGTTTGACAACAAGTAAACGAGTGGCAGAGAGGTCAGTGTTGCTGCTGGAAAGTTTGAAGCACATTACCCAACTCCGGGACGCGCCTGTTTAAAGGGCCACGACACAACAAGACACTAAGCACGTGAAGTCTCTTTACATTTGTTCTACACAAGAAATGTATTTGTAGCTGAGCAGCAGCTGTAAATTACTTCATTGTAAAATAAATAAATCTTTAGAAAATACTTGTATTTATAATTGAAATGTGGTGAAGAAAGTTTTAAAAGTAGCACAGATGTGAGAGAGCAGGCGTCTTTAGCATGTACCATTCAGAGGGAATCAAACTGATCCAAGCTCTGGCTTGGATTTATTTGTTACGTTTATAACATGAAGACATGAACGGCTGCAGGTTCGTGGATCGAGGTGTTCCTGTGTCAGACATCACATGATTTCTGTTGAGTAATAATTCCTTCAGATTGTTAATAAACAGGTTCTTGTCAGGTGTGATCACAGAGTGCAGCCACACGTGACCAACGTGTTTTTCCTTCATGACCAATGAAGACGGGTGCAGGTGTCGCAGGTGAACCCGTTTCTGCGCCACAAGTTTTCCTCTGTCTGCTTAAAGCGTCCTGGTCCTCTTGTTACAGGATTTATCCGTCCTTCCCCGCACTCACGTCACATGATTTGCCGTCTTGTGAGTATTTTCTCCTCAGCTTTAAGTACCAAAGATTTGATTTAAAATCTAGAATGTCCACATGCTTTAAGCTTTAAGGGAAAGGAGAGGGCTCGTTTCCTTCCTGTAAGGCTGGTCGAGTGAGTGATTTACTTCTCCTCGCTCACAGCAACTTCTCTTTTAACGTCTAAAACACAGCAGACACTTGTGACTTCATGTTTGCATGTCCTCCTGGTTAAGAAAGCGTGACCTGTTGAGCAATAATCAACCATTAGAAGGTTTGACCAGTCATTTTAAAGGGGCAACTGGCTGATTTAACACGTCCAGCTCTGGTTTCTGAACACACAGATCCAAAAAGCGTGATTATTTTGATGCCACGTGAAATTCATTTGTAGTATTTCTGCTTGCAATGAACTCCACCCTTAAGAAGCATCCGTCACTGGTTTGTAATAAACACAAATCTCTGTCAGTTGCTTGTTGTTTTTACTTAAGTAACTTTCCGTCCCTAAGAGAGGTTGTTTGTTTGTGCAGTCATGTGGCAGCAGCCATTATGAGCTGTGCAGAAAAAATGCCGGCCACGTTCAGGAAACTGAACGAAGCTGGAAGGAAGAGCGAGTCAAAGTTCCTCCACAAAGACGACGTGCTTCAAGAAGTTCCTGACTCGTGTGACAGACTCGGCTTTTCTCACGCTGTTCCTGCGTTCTGGTTTCACATTGGCCACATAGATAAGGACACGGTGTAGTGATATGTGCTGGATGTGGACTGTGAGGAAAAGCATCTTGTCTGCTTTGCCCTGCAGGGGTCGATGGAGGAGCTGAAGCCAGAGGAGCAGTTCTTGCAATGCGCCCGAAACGGAGATCTGCCTGGAGTTCAACGGCTTCTCAAATCCAGGGCGAGGCCAGAGACGTGGATCGATATCAACTGCAAAGGTATCCCTGGTACTCCTGGGTTTTATTCATCCAAACACTTCGATATGGTCCATGGGCCACAGGTAGCCCTCGGATGAACTCCATCTGGTCCCCGACAGTCTTAAATAGAATTTTTTTTACATCAAATTAAATCTTAAGGAAACAAGTATTTTGTTATTGACACTGAGGTGAGTGAACACAAAATCTAAATTAAATATCTTGGATGTTTACATTAAAAATGGGTTAAAATAAAAAATATAAATGGACTGTACTTCTATAGCACCTTTCTGTCTAACTTCAAGATACTCAAAGCTCTTTACAACAATCTGTGCCTCTTTTACCCATTCACACAGCTCTATACTAGATCTCTACAAAGATAATTGAACAAATCATTCTAAAGAGACTAATCAGAGCTGGTGGATTCGAACCCCCAACTCTCGCATTGGAGGACGCCTGCTCTACTCAGCCACAGCTGCCCCATGTATATAAAAATATAAATCTTTGGGGAAAAAGCAAGAAAAATGTACCTACATTTAACAAACGTTTACTAATACTTTATCACAAGTGCCACTTTAGAAAAACTGCACTGAACAAAAATATGGACATCTCTTTTGTTTATGCTCTCATTTATCGTGAGCTGAGTTCAAAGATCTTTTCTATTCACACATTAGGCCTTCTTTTCTCATATTGTTCACTGGTTTGTGTAAATCTGTGTTAGTGAGCACTTCTCCATTGCCTAAATAATCCCACCACCTCACAGGTGTGCCACATCATGATCCTGATTAGACAGCACGACTGTTGCACAGGTCTGTCGTAGGCCGACCACAATAAAAGGCCACTCTAAAATGTGCACACAGCACAATGACACAGATGTGGCAAGTTTTGAGGGAGCGTGCAAAAATCATGCTGACTGCAGGAATGTCCGTGTTCAGAGAATTTGGCATGAAGCCTGTTTTTCACGGACTCGCTCTATCACGGTTTTTCAAAATAAGATTGGACATGACACACAATTGGCTGATCGATGGAGGAGCCGCACAATTGGCATGAAATTTTTATATAGATTAAATTATTTTAAATTATTTAGCACCTCCTGCACCTCTGTGCAGCCCACACTGAAGGATACGCTTCCTCCTGTATGGCGTAATTTTTGTGCCACGGAGTTGAGCGTGCGGTGGTGTTGTGACACGCGCTCAACTCTGACAAACTGCTCGCATTCCTGCAGCTGATCAGCTGATTTCTGTGCAGAGCGGAGAAGTGGGCGTGGCCAATAGTGCAGCCAGAGGCAGAGAGATGAAATCATGACATTCTGTCCTCTTTTAGTGTGTTTAGAGTTTAGAAACATTGTTTAGAATGTTGCAAGACTGTGGGAAGGGTTTAAAATGCATATATATATATATATATATATATATAATAGTATTTGTACTACTATCCTTATTTCGTGGTTTTTCACTTATGGTGGGACTTGAGGGTACGGATTCCCAGCGATAAACGAGGGACTACTGTACATCCAACCAGCCTCCCTACAGCAGGCCATATGTAACCACTCCAGCACCTATGTTCATTGGGCATAGTGTATGCCTGCCCATACCATAACCCCACCACCACCATGGGCCACTCGGTTCACAACAGTGACATCAGAAAACCGCTCACCCACACGACTCCATACATGCCATCTGCCATCTGCCCTGTACAGTGGAAACTGAGATTTGTCCGTGAAGAGAACACCTCTCCAACGTGACGTATGCCATTGAATGTCAGCATTTGCCTCCTCCAGTTGGTTACGACGACAAACTCCAGTCAGGAGGAGACCCTGATGAGGACAACGAGTATGTATTTGAGCTTCGCTTCTCTTTTATTTATTTTTTGGTCTTTTTCTCTTTACCCTCTGTTGGAACCAGATGTGTGTCCCCCCCCCCCCCCCCACACACACACACACCTCCTCCCCTGCTGCACTCTTTTGTCCTGTGAACCCTTAAAAAGCCTCTTTTTTGTTTTTTTCTGCATACCTCTTAATTCAAAGGATCAGCTGGTCTCTCAATAAAATTGATCAACTTCTCCCGACAGGAGTCGGGGTAAGGAGGACCCTCTTACCTCGACGGAAACAAATTGGATTCATGATGACAACTGGTTATTTTGCTGTTTGGTTGGTGCAATCTAGATTGTCTATAAATTCGTGTGGATGTGTCGAAGCTCGACAGTGCTCAGACTGAATTTGTGGAGCTGCAGCAGGGAGCTGGATCAGCTGTTATCAGGACTGTGAACTCACTGGCAGCACTCATGAATGGTGGGAATAATCTGGAGAAGCTGTGAGCTCGACTTTTGGCGTAAAGGATCAATTTGTCAATTTTGGAGTTTCCATCAGAGGAATACATACCAGCGAGACTTTAAAAGGCAGAAACAACAATTCACGAGTTCTGCCTGACCCAAATTGTGGCCTTGATGCCGGACTTATCTCAACTCCTTCTGGAATGTTTTAAAAACAACAAAGATGCTTTGACTGTTTCCTCACCCCTCCCTTCCCCAAGGCTGTGGACATGTAACAGAACCTCATCTGAGCTGAAGATGAACGTCACCTCTTATCTGGACAATGGCTGAGGGGGGGGGCTCTGGACTATGCTACGACTTCCCTTAAAAATTCAATGTCTTCACTGCCTATATGTAAATGTATAACGTCTGTTTATGTTGCTTTGCTGTGGTAGGTTTTTTTTGATGCCTCAAATCGTGCCCTGTCTAGGACACGGTGTGAGAGATCTTTTTTTTATACCGTCTCTCCTCATGTTTTCTTTCCTTTTTTCATCCAAGCAAAATATTATTCTGAATAAGAATAAGAAGGCCGCGCTATTTAATAGCTGCAGCTTCGTGCACTCCGCCCATCTTTCAGACGACTGTACGTACATATTCTCGTTGTATCTCGGTGCAATGATAATAAAGTTTATTCTGATTCTGATTCTCTGAGATGGTTTCTGACAGTTTGTGCAGAAATTCTTTGGTTATGCAAACTGACTGTTGCAGCAGCTGACCAGCTGGCTGGTCTTAGACAGTCTTGGAGGAGAAGACGCTGGATGTGGAGGTCCTGGGCTGGTCAGGTTACATGTGGTCGGCAGTTGTGTGACTGGTTGAATGTACTGCCAAATTCCCTGAACATGGACATTTCTGCAGTCACCATGATTATTGCACACTCCTTCAAAAATTGCTGTATCTGTGTTGTGCTGAGTGATAAAACTGCACATTTTAGAGTGGCCTTTTATTGTGGTCAGCCTAAGGCTCACCTGCGCAATAATCATGCTGTCTAATCAGCATCTTGATCTGCCACACCTGTGAAGTGGGTGGATTATCTCAGCAAGGGAGAAGTTCGCACAAACACAGATTTACACAAATTAGTGAACAATATTTGAGAGATAAAATCCTTTTGTGTACATACAAAAGTCTTAAAACTTTGAGTTCAGCTCATGAAAAATGGGAGCAGAACAAAAAGAGTTGCATTTAACTTTTATTATATGTTTGTTTGTTGTTTTGTTTGGAAATATGCTAGAAATTCTACGAGATCATCTATTCAATTTAATTTGGTTCATTTCTATAACGCCAAGTCACAACAGAAGTCGTCTCAGGCACTGAACAGAAACATTCATATATAAAATAATAATTTAACATTATTTATCTGAGGAGCAGCTTTGAGTTTAACTCCATCACTGAACTCTCATCTTGAACAAGCATGAAGGCGACAGTGGGAAGGAAAAACTCCCGCATGAGGAAGAAACCTTTATCAGAACCAGGATCAGGACAAGCGGCCATCTGCTTCGACCGGCTGGGTTTGAGAGGAACAGATACACAATGGCAGGTCAAGAATCACATGTTAAGATAGAAATAGTATCAAATTAAAACTATTAAATTTTAGCAATTCATTTAAGGAACTTAGGTCAATTTGTCCTCTAGTAGTCTAAGACTATAGCAGCATAACATGCCAACTCTAACTATAGGATTTATCAAAAAGGAAAGTCTTAAGCCCAGTTTTAAAACTGGACAATGTGTCAGCCTTAAGGACAGAAACTGGAACTTGGTTCCACAAGAGAGGAGCCTGAGAACTGAAAGATCTTCCTCCCATTCTTCTTTTGTAAACTCTAGGAACCACAAGTAAACCTGCAGTCTGAGAGCGAAGTGCTCTGTTAGGAAAATATGGAACAACAAGATCTGTAATATAAGATGGAGCTAGGTTGTTGAGAGCTTTGTAGGTTAGAAGTAAGATTTTGAATTCTATTCTGGATTTGACAGGGAGCCAATGGAGAGAAACTAAAACTGGAGAAATATGATCTCTCCCAGTAACTCCAGTTAAGACTCTAGCAGCAGCATTTTGGATCAACTGAAGATGTTTTAAAGAAGTATTTGGACACCCAGATAATAAACCATTGCAATAGTCCAGTCTAGACATGACAAATGCATGGACCTGCATCCAGAAGACATTTTCTGATTGAGTGTGCTAAATGTGCTACAGCTTGTTCCAGTCAGAAATAAAAGCAAAAGTCTGGAAATGTCTTCTAAATTATTTGTATAGTGGAATAATTTTTCTATACTATTTTGATCACTTAACGTAACGTAGGTAAAGTTTGGTGTTGTAGTGGTGAATGTCCTGTTCTCTCAGGTAAAAGTAAGTCAAACTTGGGATGGACGCCTCTTCACTTGGCCTGTTACTTTGGTCACAAAGACGTAGTGGAAGTGCTGCTTAAGGTAATGTTATTTTTAATTCAGTCTAAAATGAAAATCTGAACAAGATTACACAGGTAGCGTGTGTTATTTCATATTCTGCAGGCAGGTGCAAATGTCAACTTGCCCAATAATATTGGAGACACGCCGCTGCATAAAGCTGCCTTCACAGGAAGAAAGGTGTGTTCATGTGGAAAATATTTACCTTTAACATTTCCAATGTCTTTGCATCATTTTGCCAATGTAAGATTTTTGTGCATGCATTTATTCATCCATTGAGTCATTTAATCAACCAACCAACCAATCAATCAATCAATCAATCAATCAAACATTGATCAGGAGGTTGTCATGCTGCTGCTGCACTATGATGCATGTGCTACTGTCATCAACGGGACAGCTCAAACTCCCAAAGATGTCACTCAAAACGCAGAGATCAGAAGCATGCTGGAAGGTGAGAGATCAAGCCTGTCGTTTTAAAAGTTACCATGGAAACGTGCGCTCAATCAGTTCCCATGTTGATTCATTTGACATCCATTCATACAAGGTATTTATGTTATGTATATGTGAAATTATCTTTCTGTGAATGACGTCTTGATGCCAGCGGCTGAGAGAACGGAAGAGAGGAAACTGGAGGAGAAACTTTTGGAAGCTGCACGGGAAGGAGACCTGTCAACGCTCAGCGTGTTGGTTAGTGCCACATTTTAATGCTTCATCTAAAACTCCTAAAGATGTGAAACTGAAGTCTGAGTCTTAAGGCTGTAGTATAACTCCATCCATCCATCCGTCCATCCATCATCTTTACCCACTTCTTCCTTTTTGGGTCATGGGGGTCACAGGTGCCCATATCCAGCAGTCACTGCGAGAGGCAGGCGACACCCTGGACAGGTCTCCAGTCCATCACAGGGACACCTGGAAAGGTCTCCAGTCCATCACAGGGACACCTGGACAGGTCTCCAGTCCATCACAGGGACACCCTGGGTAGATCTCTAGTCCATCACAGGAACACCCTGGACAGGTCTCAAGTCCATCATAGGGACACCTGGGCAGGTATCCAGTCCATCACAGGGACACCCTGGGTAGATCTCTAGTCCATCACAGGGACACCCTGGACATGTCTAGTCCATCACAGGGACACCCTAGGCTGGTCTCCAGTCCATCACAGGGACACCCTGGACAGGTCTCCAGTCCATCACAGGGACACCCTGGACAGGTCTCCAGTCCATCACAGGGACACCCTGGACAGGTCT